TGGCGGCAGCACCGCCATGGGAGGGCTCTCCAGGACCGCCCACCGCCCAGGCCGGAGCCCCAGCAGCCAGCTCTCCCCCTACCAGCTGACGCCCACACTTGAGAAACCTGTTCCGAGATGACAGATGCCGAGCATTGGTGAAGGAAGGATTTGCTTTAACGACTAGATACACGGGGTAATCACATTAACCGATTATACATAGATGATCAATCAACAAAGCACTTCCCACCAACTTCCCCTAAGTAAATGAAACATTCGGAGATGACAGTTAATTTTACTCCTCTCGCTGGTGAGATACCAATTTTAAGCCATGGTTTGAAAACTCCTGTCAAGAAGGCCTGACTCAGAGCATCTGCAGAGATCTAAAGCATTATGACCAAGCATTATGGGAAGGTTTTTCCACATCCCTTGAACTCAGTGCAAGTATCAGAACACACCTTGGGAGGCAGAGTAGGGTCAACTTTTGAACAACTTTAAGCTTCAGGGTTTATTAGGAAATTTGCAGTTTGTTCTAACTGGACAGTGATGTCTTTAAAAACCCTCTACATGAATAGTTTTAAAGCTAGTTTAAAGTCGCCGCCGACCACATTTGGAGGCACCCCACCTGCAGCACGTGCAGGACGCAAGCCTGCGAGAACGAGCGCCCAAGCGGCTGCGCGGGACCGGCCACGCGGGCAGGCCTCCCCTTCCCGACACCCTGCAGCACCGACCGTGCCTCACTTCTGCTCTCACCCACAGTCTTAGTGGCTGGCAAATTATCATTTCGTCTCTCGAGTTTTCCCCAGGTTCAATCGCAAATTCAGCAAACATCTACTGAGCACCCGTGACTTGAGCCGGACAGAGGACAAGGACTCCGGGCCGCAGCGCGAGCGCCCCGGCCAAGTGGCAGACACACCACGGCTACTACCGCCGATTCGCGGGGACCGAGGAGCCCCCAGGTGGAGGTCCAGTTTTTCTCAAAAGTGTGTTGGGTTTGAGTCAGAGTTCCGGATTTTGCCCCGTTCGCACGTAAAACTTACAAACGAACCATGCTGGCTGGCAGTGAGCTGGGACAGCGGCGGTCCGCCTTCAGAGGGCTACGGCACAGGTTAGGTGAGAAAACCACATTATGTGAACATCAAACCCTCACACACAAAACCTGGAAGAGAAGGGACCGGTGACTGACGCTGGCCGTCCGCCGTTATTCCCACAGCGTAACAAAATCAGCTCTTTAAGAAAAAAATCACTTGAATCGAGGTTTTGCTCCCCTCGGAGAGGCGACTGTTACTTCACTTCTGACGACCTCCCATCTCCTGCAGCCGTGATCCCGACCCTGCCTGCCACCTTCCGCTGCGAGCTCCCTGTACCGATCTAGCCCTGATTTAATGCAGTTAACAGGGATCCCATACTCTTGAAGGAAAAACTATGAACATGTAAACTAGTAATACAACACTTAATGCTGGGTGTCAGATACTCACAGGAGACAAAACGTGTCACTGACCTCTACGCGCGATCCAAAGTGCTGTTACGGGAGAAATCTCTCCAGTCTTTCTCTACTAGCACTGACACTGAAGCCCACGTCCTTTTATAAAGAAATCTGCACTGCACCGAGTTTATTCTGGCACGTTAAACAAGGCTTAGAGTTTATAACACACACATAATACAGAACGTAAACGGCGCCCACCAACATTTTCAGAATTCTAGGTCGTCAACTAAATTTTAGAAACAGACATCTGCAGGTGGAGTGGAGGGTTTTTTTTTTTTTTGCCTTAAAAACAGAAATCACTATTTGAAAAAGTCTCCTGTTGCAATAATTATCTGTCAGTCTTTGGAATGTTATTTGATAATACACATCTACAGACCCGGCATACTACATTTCACTGTTAAAACTCATTACAGAACAAGACGACGGACACCAAGGTTTTAGTGAGGACCTTTTTCTAAAAGAATCCCTCAGACTCCCCCTGCCGCACGCATACACACAGACAGAATTATACATACCATTTTCTGGGGAAAGTTTGTCATAAGCATCTTCATAAATATAATTTCTTCTTATAGTGACGTTAATTCCATCCAGAAACGGACCGTCTCCTTGCACCTCTTGCTTATCTGCATAAATCAACCTTTGAAAGATCTAACAAACAGAGGAAGCTGTCAGGTTATCTGAAATGAGACTTTGTTATAAGCAACAAAAAACTGCTACATAAATCTTCAGTCTTCTATCTCCGTGAATTCAGAAACAAATTTTAAAAGCCAAGGTATTGAATATGGACTTTCGGCCTTATCAGTAGACATGAGATATTTGTGTATTTGTAACCTTGCTCCTCTTCCCCATCTTACAACAAATTTTTAAAGTCCCATGCTGTAGTATTGTCAGTATTTTCTTTTACAAACCCTTTAGAAAAACCCAGGTGACAGAAAAAGAACAAATATCTTTCTTTGTAAAGCTGTGTATCACTAGTAGGAATATCTCCCTAACAATAAAACTCAACTGATTTTTTTTTTGATGCTAAAAATCCAGTAGAGGGAGCTCAGGAACTATGTAATATCATGTTGCATTTGTGCCTCTGTGTGTGTGTGTGTGTGTGTGTTAATAAAGAAACACCAACAGCTTTAAAAGAAATTCAATCTTTTGCTCATCCTATAAAGAGTGGGCAGGACTAAAATTACCCTCTTGAATCCATTACTTAAGAATAGAGCCTGGTAGGGGTGCCTGGGTAGCTCGGTCCGTTAAGTGTCCAACTCTGGAATTCAGCTCAGGTCATGATCTCACAATTCATGAGTTCGAGCCCCACACTGGGCTCCATGCTGTCAGTGTGGAGCCTGCTTAGGATTCTCTCTCTCTCTGCCCCTCCCCAGCTCACTCTCTTTCTAACTAAGTAAACTTAAAAAAAAAAAAAAGCCTGGTAGTTTTTAGAAATTTGCTAAGTTGATGAATACAAACAAAACACTTTAAAATCTCAAAACAGATAAATACAAAGTTTTGTACGTTAGTCAAAAATGACCAGGCAAGAAGTTGACTATCCAAGTCTCTTTTATAAACTAGTATTTGTGATAAATAACTTCAACATAATGTACAGAAGCGTATCTTTTCAAAAAATATGCATTTTCAAAACCAATACAAAATTCAGTAGACAAAGGACCTCATCCTCCCGTAAGACGAAGATGGTGTGACAGGCCTCTGAACTCTAGGTACAACTATGGAGAAAATCTTTCAAGTCTATATAAAGAGGTACTTGGTTGGACTATGCTTTCTAAAAAAAAAAAAGAAAAGCAAAGAAAAGCAAAAGTTTATTTTGAGAGAGAAAGTGCAGGGATGCATGCGAGTGGGGGCGGGGCAGAAAGAATCCCACGCAGGCTCCGCCCTGACTTGGGGGCTCGACCCCACCGTGAGATCATGACCCGAGCCGAAACGAAGAGTCAGACGCTAATAACTGACTGAGCCACCCAGGCGCCCCTGGACTATGCTTGTATAAATCGCGCTCAGCTATTATCACCTGATGAGGAAAATAAGAAGCACAGACTCAGCTGGGCACCACACACCCTCGGAGACGTTCTGGCTGGTGTTAGTGCAACGCTGAAATGGTGCTAAGTGACTGTGCCACACACACGGTCTATAAAGACACCAAGCCACTTACCTTGACTCGCTCCTCAAATGGAACCACAAAGGGCAATTCTGTCAGGATGGCGAGTTGTCTTTCCTCAGAGACAGACAGCGGTGGGGACTCCAAACCCACTGCAACACATTTTAAAGGCTTTGTGGAGTTACGGGCACAGACACACCCCACCCTGCGGCACCTGGCAGACACTGTGTGCCACGAACAGAAGGTGGGTGCCGACCCCGTGCCCGGCGCCTCCGTGGGCACCATTTCCAGCAGCACTTGCACACTTCGTGTCCTCGTGTCACATTTCGGTAATTCTTGCAACATTTCTAACTTTTTCATAATTACATTTGTTACGGTCATCTGTGATCCGTGATTCTCAGTCACTGAAACGACTCAGATGATAGCATCATTTCCAAAAAGTGTATTTTTTTAATATGATAGAGAGCGTGAGAGTGCAAGTGAGGGAGGGCAGGGAGAGAATCCCAAGCAGGCTGCACACTCAGCATGGAGCCCGAGGCAGGCGTGGATCATGACCTGAGCCAAAACCAAGAGTGAGATGCTCAACTGACCGAGCCACCCAGGCGCCCCTAAAAGTTTCTTCTAATGAAGGTACATTTGTCGTTTCTTTAGACGTAATGCGACGGCGCTCTTAACCTTTACATACGCTGGAAAACCAAAAAATTCATTTGACTTGTTCTGCGACATACACTTGATTGCGGTGGTGGAGAGCAGAACCCACCATGTCCTTGAGGTCTGCTTGGACCCTTCCCTCCCAGACGCACAAGGCTACACACTACATGGTTCCATTTAAAGACGTTCTGGAAAAGGCAAAGCTACCAGGACAGAAACAAATCAGTGGTTCCCAGGGGCAGGGGCTGGGGCAAGGAGCCGGGGCGAGGGCTAAGTACAAAGGAACACGAGGTAATTTCCAGAACGATGAGCCTTTTCTCTATGATTGATCACGGTGGCCTATGTTTATCAAAAATCACAGAACAGTACACTGAAAAGAGTGAACTTCCCGGTATGGAATGGAAGTCCATAACCCTGAACGGAAAGGAGGCCTGCAAGGCCACAGAGAACTCACCGTCCAGGCTCGACTGCAGGGGGCCGATCCTCCCCATCCGCCGGTACCTCCACACGTGTCTGGAAGCCGGAACGTAGAGCTGGGTGACCTGCGAAGCCGGCAACGCTTGCTTAGTACATCCTTGTGCTGTGGCGCGAACTTTAACTTGTCACATGTGAACTAAATCGTGCCTTACACATACTGAGTGTCAGCCGGGTCCTGCTCTTTGATCTCATGTCCTTTCCATGTCCTTGTCCCCCCCTCTCTCCCCTGCTGGCTACCCTTTCACGCTTTGACAGTGTAACTGCTTCTAACACATCCCAGGGAACTCTCTGCTGCTTCTGGTTAATGCCGTGTAACAGGTGCATATAGTAAACGGTCATGGGATCACTTTCTAAACGAAAACGTATCACGCTTAAAGAATGAATTTCTTACTACTAAATATTCAGCATCTCATAATTACAAAATCTGAGTATCCAGCGAGGCTGGGGTCGTGTGCACTCTGGAAGCCTCGCCGCTCTGTGGGCTCCCCCGGCCCTGAGCGGGCCGGGTCAGAGCAGCTGGATGGCAGGGCCCCCCAGGCCCCCCCCCCCCCCCCCCCCCCCCCCCCCCGGGCTGTGCTGCCAGCTGAGGCCCCTCGGGGCTAACACGGGCTTCTGGCCCGGTTCCCACACACATGTGCAGCGGCATCAGGAGGGCTCCTCACATCCAGGTTCGGTTTCTGGCCAGGACGCTTCATGGGCAGAGTGTCCTTTCCTCAAGGCACGTGTCCGGTGACCGCAGGTCTGGGTACCCGTTGTTACAAAGCGATGAGGCCAAGAGAGGGACCAGCTGCGCTACCAGGCACGGTGTGGCGCAGCTGACGTTTTTTCCACAGCTGAGTCTCCCGGGGTAGCAGCGGCACAGCGAGGGGTGTCCGGCACTGGACCCTCATCACTGGACCCGCATCTGCTGGGGTCTCCAGCCCGGTATCAGCAGGTCCCCTTGTGGCCTGCACCCCGAGGGCACCGCCTAGACCGTTGACTCATCAGAGCTGCAGACTGTGGGACTCCAGGTCAAAAGCGGCTTCTTCATGCATCATGAGCCACCCCTACACCGAGAAGGGTCTCACATCACCACTACTCAGGCTGAGATACATGAAGTTTGTAAGGGAAAGGCAGACTCAGTGCATGATTACTTTTTTCCGAACCCGTCCTCAAAATAATAAGGTGGTCCCTCTGCTTATAAGATGGCCAATCACGTTCTTCATTTTCTAACGTTTAGAACACTTTTGAAAAAGTTTTATTTATTTGAGTAATCTCTACACCCAATGTGGGGTTTGGAACCACAACCCTGAGATCAAGAGTCCCATGCTTTTCCGACTGAGCCGGCCAGGCACCCGTAACTCACAGATTTAAGCATATTCGACGTTTAGTCCATTACACCTGTTCCGAAGGGCCGGGGCCTCCTGTGGTTCCCACATTCTCCAGTGACAAGACACTCCATCGTTCCAAAGGCTGTTTCCTTTTGGTGGTAAATGTTGTTTGGAGGCCCCATCCCGGGCCTTGGAGATGTCCATCTGCTATAGTGTTGGCCGTGGTTTCGCAGCCTAACCAGTGGGCACAGCTAGGCGCCACACGCTCCAAGATTCATGCAGACACAGTAATGCTTCTGAAACTGTTATAAAGCACCTCTGTTTTCTTCTTCTTTCTCCTTCTCCTTCTTCTTCTTTTTAAGTAGGCTCTACGCCCCGAGTGGAGCCCAATGTGGGGCCTGAACTCATGACCCTAAGATCAAGACCTGAGCTGAGAGCGAGTCGGATGCTTAACTGACTGAGCCACCCAGGCGCCTGCTGTTTTCTTTCCTTTAATGCTTCTACAGTCCTGTTTCTCCTACACCCTCCACCCCGAGATTTTGAAATGAATACAATCATGCCTTTCACTGACAAACAAGAACGAAAACGGTTCATAGACGTCTGTTAATGTTACTTAAATTTCTGAAAATATATTATACTACTGAATCTACTTTAGACCTAGGTTTTAGTAATTTTAGTAACATTCAAATTTGTCTGTTCCTTTAGAAAATCAAGGACATGCTCCATTTCCTCTAAGTACCAAATATGCGTCAATAATTATAATACCTTTCAATAAAAGCAACATCTTTTGCAACCCCAACAAAGAACCACTAGGCTTCAATATAATTTGTGGTTAAAGGAGAAAATCAGGATTAATAACAAACTCAGGATGCATGTTTAAGTCGATGGTACTGCTATATATTCTATCTTGTGACCTAAGCGTTAATAATAAAAAAGTTTACTATTAATATTTTGTTACACACTAAGTAATAAATGAACCAAATGAACCAATTTAAAAGGCTTTATCCTCCCTCGAAAGACAAAAGCTGAGACAATGTTTAATGAAAACTATTTAAAAAGATCTTTCCATAAACCTTATCTGCTTTAATATCTTCCTGTTCTGACAGCCAGTGGCTTGGAGGACAGAAATTTCTTCTGGTGTCTCTGGACTTCAGCATCTTCACAAGGCTGGTGATAACCTGCAGAGGGAGAGCAGGGCCGAGTCACGTGAGCAAGCCCAGTAACGACCACCGCACAAGAGAGGCAACAACACGGCAGCCCCCCTGTATGCCTGTGAGTGCGTGGGCTGGGCCGTCCGGGCCTCCCCTCGGCCACCACCAGTCAGGCCACAGGAGAGTACCTCATCCTGTGACCCCCAAGAATGAGTCTGTGTTTTTTTAAGATAAATAATACAATTTTTAAAAAATGTTTATTTTTTAGAGAAAGAGAGAGAGAGAGTAGGGGAGGGGCAGAGAGAGGGGGAGAGAGATGATCCCAAGCAGCCTCCACGCGGTCAGTGTAGAGGCCGAGTGGGGTTCGATCCCATGAACCGTGGGATCACGACCTGAGCCGAAATCAAGAGTCGGACGCTTAACCGACCGAGCCGCCCAGGCGCCTCAAGAATGAGTCAAGTACAAAGTGGTTAGTTAAGTACCAGTGAAGAGAGAAAAATTAACAGGAACATGTTAAAGGCTGTCTACAAAGGAGGTAGCAAATGAGTTTTGAAACACAAATTTGGAAATGTATTAGCTCATTTGAGCTATAATGTAAGAAATCTCCAAGTACGGCAATTCTGTAAAACTTTTTCCTACAGTAATAGCATTTATTTTTTCTTAAAAGACGCTCTGTCAAGTGCACGGGTGGGGGGGTGGGGTGGGGGGGGGGAGTCCTACACGGACCTCTGACATCTGCCAAAAAAGACCAACAATTCCTGTCTTTCCCTTATACACGTCTCTGGAGTCAGGCCTGCTTCTCACCATGATTCTACACACACTGGGCCCCACTCCTCTCATAAAGCCCCCCATGCTGACACTTTGCATTTCAGTACTGCTTCTGCAGTGAGCTCTGGTCCCTCTCTGGCTACGTAGGAAGCTGCCTCTGAAGAAAAGCCAGCTGAGGACCCGCGAACCTAGTAGGCATTCAATGACTGACTTGGGATCAATAATTAATTATAAATTTTAGACTATATGAGTAAGAGAGCTAATGGCACTGCCTATTTAAAAAAGACCCGACGGCGGGAATAAAAAATAAAAAATAAGACCTGACATTCTTTATTAAATACAAATGGACTTTGCAATAAGCCAAGATAAAACCAACATAAAATTGTAAATCCAATTTACAACCAGGATTTGATCATACAACTACTATGTAGTGAAAGTAAGGCTATGATGACGTTTTCCGAAAAAGTCAGCCAGGCCTCTGTCCACATGGCCTCTAATTAAGTAAAATACAATTTGGATAAGGAATTAGGATAAAATATAATTCGGGTAAGGAAAAAAATTAGGATAACATGATAAATTTCCAAATATACCCACAAGACAAATAAGACTGCATAATTTCAACTGTTAATAGAGATTTCTCTTTAAAATTTTACAATTCAGGGGCGCCTGCATGGCTCAGTCAGTCAGGCATCCGACTTCGGGTCAGGTCACGATCTCACGGTTAGTGGGTTCGAGCCCCGCGTTGGGCTCTACGCTGACCGTTCTTAGCCTGCTTGGGATTGTGTCTCCCTCCCTCTCTTTTCTGCCCCACCCCCCTCAGCGTCCCCTGCTCATGCTCCGTGTGTGCGCGTCTGTCTCTCTCTCAAAAAGAAACAAACATTAAAAAATTTTTTTCTTTAATTTAAAATTTACAACCCAGCATGTATATACCACAGAAATACAAATGCTTCTTTCATGACGTGCAAACCCTGGCATCCAGGGATACCAGAAACTCCGTGTGTCCAACAAAAGCAGGTGAGAAAGGGCCCTCGGCTGACACCTCAGACGGCTATAATATGGACACACGGCTTGGATGAGATGCCCACGGATGGAGCCAACAGTTAGTAGTTGAGCAGTTCGGCCGCACAGACAAAACCACATCAGCATAAATGTCTCAAGACCTAGAATACAGCCTTCTGACTGGCGGAATTTCTTCCCGGTTTGTTCTTCCACCTCCCTTGTGGCAGGTGAAGGCCTATCCTAACACTATGGTAACATCCTTTCTGAATCAGCAGTTATTAGCTTAGGTGAGTCAGCCTGAACCTGTCGTCGGTCACCCCCCACTCCTGACTCTCTTATGCTTGCTCAGGGCTTAAGTCAGGCACATGCAACACTCTATGAGCACGAAAAGACCAGATGGCGATGAGTTACGCTACACGTGTGGTCTTGTCTGGGACAACCGACGGGTCAGTGCACGCAGAGCACGACACAAGCACGTGCCCTCTTCCGAGAGCACAGACAGAAGCACCATCTTTTTCTTTGAAGTTTATCACATCTTGGGGCGCCTGGGGGGCTCAGTCGGTTAAGGGTCCGACTGTTGATTTCCGCTCAGGTTGTGATCTCATGCTCATGGGTTCAAGCCCCGCATCGGGCTCCGTGCTGACAGCGTGGAGCCTGTTTGGGACTCTGTCTCTGTCTCTGCCTCCCCTCTGCTCTCTCTCTCAAAATAAATAAATAAACAAAATTTTTAAAAAATATCACAGCTTATACCTTTCCATTTTCATAACCAGCTATATTAGTATTTCAAGTAAATTCAGACTGAACAGATACTGGGCCGAAATTTACACGATACACCACGACTGTTAGCAGAAGACATGCTTTCTGACACACGTTTCATGTATTTCTTTAACTGCGCCCATTTACTTATGGCTCACGTGTGGCACCCCACTGAAAGGTGGCATCCTCTTGTACTGACCTTCCCCGTTGCACAGCTGAGGAAACGTAGCTTTCCTGAGGGTGAGAGACTTGCTCCCAGGCCCGTGAGGGGCAGGGCCAGGGTTGCCTCACTCTAGAATAAAACCTTCTATCTGCCTCCTGGTAGTCATCTTTCAACCTCTGGTCATGAGGACATTTGTTTTCTGCAGGTCACAGACATGAAACTATGTATGAGGCAATTAATGCCATAAGTTACTTTCTTCTTTTAAATTACTGTGAAATTAAACACTAAAAAGTTTCAATACAGGCAGCCACTGTCTTATTTTCACATCCTAAGTATAAAAAAAGAAGCAATCACATATTACTTCTTTTTAAAGTTTATTTATTTATTTTGAGAAAGAGAGTGCAAGTGGGGAAGGGGCAGAGAGAGAGAGAGAGAGAGAGAGAGAGAGAGAGACTCTCAAGCAGGCTCCACACCACCAGTGCAGAGCCCCACGCAGGGCCTGACTCTCACGAACCACGAGATCGTGACCTGAGCCGAAGTCGGATGCTCAACCGATGGAGCCCCCCAGGCACCCCAGTAATCGCTTATTACTTATACATGTCCTGGTATAATCGATCCTCTTTCAGAAACAAGGAAAGGGAGAGAGAGGGAGGGAGGAGAAAGCGGGAGGCACAAAGTGATGGGGGCCTGAGGAGGCTTGTAAAGGGCGAGATGTCAAGAAGGAGTCACTGTGAAAGAGCAGGTCTTACAGGTCAGAGCTGACGGCAGGCCAACCTCGAAGAGGAATCTTGGGAGAGGATTTAGCCGAAAAAATAAAGACACCTATTAAATTTTAATTTCAGGTAAATAGCAAATAATTTTTTAGAATAAATATGCTCCAAATATTGCTTTTTAAAAAAATGTAAGTATATCCAAAATACTGCACAGGACCTAGTTTTATCTAAAACAAGCCATGACATTAAAATTTAACTGGGTGACACATTTTTATTTGCTAAATCTGGTAATACTAGCCCGGAACCAATTCCCAAAATCCTTTTTTAGAAATGTCAAATCCCATATTTTAAATTCAACTAAAAACACTTCCTCCATTTAAACTAGTCTCTTCTAAGTTTCACAGAAAAATGCAAATTTTAAGAAACCGCGAAACCTTAACGGGGTCCGTTTGTGATGTCAAATCACCCCCAGTCACATTCCTGCTCCCCGCATGCATTTTCAGGGCCACAAACTCAACTGCTGTACAAATATTTAGTATCGGGAAGGAATGTGGAGGTGACCATTAAAAAGTTACATAAATCGACTGAAGACTGTGAAAGGTAAGGCGAACTGGGGCACCGATTTCGAACTGGATTAACAGCCACTGCTGAGATCAGAGGGCAGTTTTGCTCTCAGTTAATTTTATTAAATTTTCTGGTACAGACATGCACACTAAAGAAGCCTGTACCAAAACAGAAGGAATTTTAGATTTTTTTTAGTTTTTAGAGAAAGCGTGTGCACGTACACGCACGTGATGGGGGAAAGGACACAGGGCGAGGGAGAGGGACTCTTAAGCAGATTCCATGCCCAGTGAGGGACTCAATCTCACAACAGCAGGATCATGACCTGAGCCGACTGACATCAAGAGCTGGACGCTCAACCAACCGAGCCGCCCAGGCACCCTGACTTAAATCTAAAATTTAGTTCCTGCTTAAATCTAAAATTTGTTGGGGCGCCCAGTGTCTCAATGGGTTGATCGTCTGACTCTTGATTTTGGCTCAGGTCACGATCTCACAGTTGGGGGATAGAGCCCATGTCAGGCTTTGCACTGACGGTGTGGAGCCTGCTCAGGATTCTCTCTCTCTCTCTGCTCCTCCCCCTCTGGTGCAATCCTGTGCGCCCTCTCTCTAAAATAGATAAAAACAATCAGAGGGGCGCCTGGGTGGCTCAGTCGGTTAAGTGTTCGACTTTGGCTCAGGTCATGATCTCACGGTTCGTGGGTTTGAGCCCCACGTCAGGCTCTGTGCTGACAGCTCGGAGCCTGGAGCTGCTTCGGATTCTGTGTCTCCCTCTCTCTCTGCCCCTCCCCAACTCATGGTCACTCACACACTCTCTCTCTCTCTCTCAAGAATAAACATTCGGGGTGCCTGGGTGGCTCAGTTAAGTGTCCGACTTCGGCTCAGGTCATGGGTTCATGGGTTCGAGCCCCGCGTCACGTTCTGTGCTGACAGCTCGGAGCCTGGAGCCTGCTTTGGATTCTGTGTCTCCCTCTCGCTCTGCCCCTCCCCCACTCACACTCTGTCTCTCTCTCTCAAAAGTAAATAAACATTAAAAAAAATAATAAAAATAAATACACAGGACCTACGTCACAGTAAGCCTACTTTTGCTATATGAGATCAAAGGTTATATATATCTGCCCCAAGTGATTTCTTTACACAGTGAGGCCTATGGTTCTTAACCCTGGCTGCATATTGAAATCTCCTGGGTTTTTTTTTGTTTTTTGTTAAAGTTTATTTATTTTGGGAGTAAGGAGGGCAGAGAGAAAGAGAGGGGGAGAGAGAATCCCAAGCAGGCTCCTTGTTGTCAGTGAGCCGTCAGGGCTTGAACTCACAGACTGTGAGATCACGACTGAGCTGAAAGCGTTAAGTCTGATGCTTAACCAACTGAGCCACCCAAGTGCCCCAAAATCTTCTGTTGATGAATGCCTGGGCAGAGGTACCAGCAACAGTGATTTTCATTCAATTCTTTGAGGTAAAGCCAGTCAATTGTTTTTAACTGTTCCCCGGGAGATCCTTGACTACTAGCGTGTTAAGAAATAGGAAGTAGAACAGAACACAAACACACACGTACTGGAATAACCAGGTGTGCCCAGCCCCACTGACACTTTCAGCAGGCTTCAACAGCTATAAATACAACAGCGCTGTATTTATTTGGTATGTTTCGCTCTCGTCCACCATATCATGTCTGCCCATGCTAGATCTACACCTTAAATACACGCTCAATAACTAAAAAAATTATGTAAGTAAACCTTCAGAAATACACACAACTGGTTTTCATGTTCTATTACTTCCCATAATAGTGTTCAGACAACTGGTGGTAGCGGAGCCCCAGCCCCGAGGTCACGAAGCGTCCGCTGTGGACTGACGTCAGGTTAGCCAAGTTTTCTAAAGCCTTTAGCTACGACCTGCGAAAACTGGTGTATCTTTAAAGACAACCGGGTTCTCCAGGATGTCTAAAACACTACAAAATTACTTCTGAAAGCACCCATTTTATTCAGTAGTCAGAAACTAAACAAAAACCTTCAGAGACCGGAAAGGAAGTGACACTACCCTGCAAGAACAAAGGTGCGTCGCGTGCCTAACAGTGACAGTTCACGGCGGCACGCTAGGGCCGCGTTAGGGCACTGCTGCTGTTTTAATGTTCACTTCTTAAACGATTCTTTTTGAGCCTGAAAAATAAAACCAGCCACCGAGAAAGTGAACACCACTCACAACACAGACCTCCGTCTCTCCACGCAGAGGTGTGCAGACGAGAGAGGCTCCGGAAGTCTCTTCCCTGCTCCCCAGGCCCCCACCTTCCGGGTAGGGGACTCCTATGTAGGCGACAGCTCCCACAGAAGCCGCATCACACAGGACTTCCTATCTCCTGATAGGGCTCAAGTAATTAGACCTGTAAATTACGCCTCAAGAGGAGTTTATAAATTTGATAAATGCATAAACTGTTTTAGCAGTGTCAATGCGGGGCCTAGCAACTGACCTCAATTCTTAGAGTGACAAAGAAAGATGACTCTATCCACTTAAAATTCTATGCTCTGTGACCAGCCAGCAGGGCCTCTCACAGAAATCAGTCTGAAAGGCCCATCGTAAGACTGAAAAATGAAAATGGCTGCCGGCCGGAGGAGTCAGGCCTCATCATTTGCAATTCTGTCACCATCAGCGGAAGGCAGGAAATCGTGGGCAAAATGCTTTTACCTTTCTGGTTGCTTCTACCTTGAATTCTTCAATTCAAATTTGGCCCTAAAATACCTATGAAATGCTAGCATTCTATTTTCGTAGTCTTCCGAGGGGGATGCAGAGTAGCAGCCGGGTTCGGATGCCGGTTCTATTCACTGGCGGCCATGCGGCCTCATCTGTAAAATGGGGACAATAATGGCATCTTCCTGGCAGAATTAACATATGTACAGCTCTGAGACTACCGTCTGGGACACGGTATCCACTGGGAGGTAATTCTTTTGATCTCATGTTAAAGATAATTTTTTCTTACACGGAAAAAACCCTTTTCTACTCAACAACTATGCCTCGATTTTTCATTATTTGGGGGGCTCAGCTTAACAGCAGAGAGTATGAAGAAGGTTTCTTTTCCCCAAAGAACAGGAATCCTGTTCAAAAAACTGTCTTTCAAACAATTCTGTTCTAAACCCAGGTCTTTGTAACCACTCGATTTCAAACCTAAAACAATCCCGTACCACAAAAGTGAACCTTCACCCTAATTCCCAAAAACTTCAATCCTTAATCAAGTGGTAATGAGTCATTTTAAGGCAGAAGAAAAAATTCACTACAGAATTTTCATTTACTGCTAAAGCAAAACAAGGCCAGGGGGAAATATCTTATACAGAATTATTAAATTCTGAGATTTCTAAGTCCTAAAGATAAGCCTGCCATGTGAAAATTATGAGGTTCTCAATAGGTGCTATAAAATAATGAGATTATCTGATAGTGCACACAAACCTGATATCCTACATAATGGAAAGCTTTATTAACAAAGATCCCAGAGTTTAATTAAATACTTAAAGAAAAACACATATGCCACCATAATGCACATATCCAGGAAAAGTTTACATAAGAATTGTAAGTTTTAAATGGGTTAGACAGCTTATTTTTAACTTAGAAAAGTTGCAAAACTGTCACTCCTTAAGAATGGATATATTAAGGGTTCAACATGTGACCTTTAGAGTTTACTTGGGAATGCAGAGATAGGTAATTAAAATAAATTGTGCAAACATATATTACATCAATCTGCACAAATTATAAATTCAATGATGCATTAGTACTGTGTTCAGTGCAATCAAAACATTATCAGTTACTCTCACTGCTACTAATGCTCATGCTCCTAAGTGAAATGTGTTGTAAAATCCGGCACAATGGGCTGGATAGAGACTATCGTGCACTCGTCGGATGAATAAGCAGTCCTTAATTAGCCCATCAGGTTAAGTGCGAGCGTTAATGGGCCTTTCCGAAAGTCTAGCTTGACATCTTTCTCCAAACATGGCCAAGAAGAAAGTTCCATTAGCAATATTAATACAAGCTTAGTTGATCATTTTCATTCAATTAACTTCTTTCAATTAAATAGATAGCTTGACAAAAGCAGTGATAAAAGACCTGGAGGGACAGCTGATGATTTGAGCCGCACATTAGTGCGCGAGGGGTCGCGGGTATCACACGGACTGTAAATCCAGCATTCAATTTGGAAAATGCACGTCTTCTGCTCCCACTCCCTTAATGAGCGATTTTAGCTGACTGGATGTGTTTGCTGCAGAAATTTCATGGCAAGTCAAGCACCCTTTATCTTTTCTTTTTTTCTATCCTCAGTGATACTCGCACTGGTGGGGATTTCCTGCCAGCATTCCAGCCACGGCAACCCGTAACTTCTCTTTGGGCATGGGTGAAAACGAAGATATCCTAAAATAATTTACATGCAGCTTACATTACACTAAAGACTTTATCACACCTTTTTTTT